TGTTTTTTTGTTTTCTGAGACAGAGTCTTGCTCTGTCGCCCAGGCTGAAGTGCAGTGGTGCCATCTCGGCTCAATGCAATCCCACCTCCTGGGTTCAAACGATTCTCCTGCCTCAGCCTCCTGAGTAGCTGGGATGACAGGCGCCCGCCACCACACCTGGTTAATTTTTGCCTTTTTAGTAGAGGCAGGGTCTCTCCACGTTGGCCAGGCTGGTCTCAAACTCCTGACCTGAAGTGTTCGCCCACCTCGGCCTCCCAAAGTGCTGGGGTCACAGGTGGGAGGCCGCACATCCAGCCGACGGGGCTGTTTTAGGGCCCAGCTCACCTCCCTGTGTTCTCGCACTGCCCAGCAGGCCGGGTCTTCAGGGCTGTGCCGTGGTGACTGACGAGCAGCACAGCCCCCAGCAGAGGCCCGGCAAGGCTTTGCTTCCTGGAGCAAGGGGGTTGCAAGTTCTAGCTCAGAGGCTGCAGACAACAGACAATGGGCCAATGACAAACATCTTCTGGCTCAGGGACACGGGGCCAGGGGTCCCTGTATGCCCTGTGCCAAACTGCAACCCACATCCCATCCTGGAGGCCGAGGGTGGCACCTCAGGGTGAGATCCCTAGAACTGCACAGAGCCCGCAGCTCTGGGTCCTAAAGGCTCCCCCTGAATAAATGCAAACTGTTTTATTGCAAAGGCGGATTGTCAGCCCCAAGGGACAGAAAGGCAGTTTAAAGTGGCTTCATCTCCCTGTGGAGGAGGAGTTCAGGCACAGCTGGATCCAGGGACCTCCAATGTCACTGGGAATTGCTGCTGTCCCCTTTAGCTCTGTGGCCCACTGGGCTGGCCTGACCAACATGGAGAAATTCCGTCTCTTCTAAAAATACAAAAATTAGCTGGGTGTGGTGGCATGCGTCTGTAATCCCAGCTACTTAGGAGGCTGAGGCAGGAGAATCCCTTGAACCCGGGAGGCAGAGGTTGTAATGAGCTGAGATCACACCACTGCACTCCAGCCTGGGTGACAAAAAAAAAAGTAAAGAAAACGGGCATAGAGGGGTCCCAGGGCCTGGTACACAGTGGGCATCAACAGCTGCTTTAACAAATCTGCACAGACTACGTGGTTTAAAGCCACGCACGGGCGGGGCGCGGTGTCTCACGCCTGTAATCGCAGCACCTTGTGAGGCCGAGGTGAGCAGATCACCTGGGGTCAGGAGTTCAAGACCAGCCTGGCCAACATGCGGAAACCCGGTCTCTACTAAAAATACAAAAATTAACCGATCATAGTGGCAGGCGCCTGTCATCCCGGCTACTCGGGAAGCTGAGGCAGGAGAATCGCTGGAACCCGGGGGCGGAGGTTGCAGTGAGCCCAGATCGCACAGCTGCACTCCAGCCTGGCTGGCAGCGCCAGCCTCCATCTGAAAAAAAAAAAAAAAAAAAAAAAAAACAGAAAAAAGAGTTCCACATGGGTCTGGCTGGGGGAAGATCAAGGTTTTGGCAGAGCTGCGCTCCTTCTGGCGGCTGCAGGGGAGAATGCGTTCCACGCCTTCCCAGCTTCTAGAGGCCGCCACATTCCCTGGCTCCAGCCCCTCGCTTCATCTCCAAAGGCCCCAACAGCAGCCATGTCCTTCTCTGTTCTGTCTCTAACCATAGAGAGCAGGTGGTCTCTCTCTCTCTCTCTTTTTTTTTTTTTTTTTGAG